GTTATTTTGGGTGAAGTCCAGAATTTCTCAAAGCATATACCTTTGTAACTCTGAACTTTTGATCCTTTGTGCCTAGATTAGTCTAACACATTTAGAATCTTCAGCCCAAACACAACACCATTTTGCTGAATGCCGCCTTGATAAGAATGAACATAATCTACTCTGAACAATTTAAATTTTCCGAATCCTAAATTGTCTAAACCAGCCGTAAATTCTGTGTAAGGCTTTCTGTTCGGAATTGCCAAAGAATGAAACCCAAGATTCATGGTAGATTTTAAAAGATTCAATAACGGGATTTTATTCATAATAAATCCCTTGTCGTTGTGTTCCAAATGCATTTCGAAATAACTGTCATTGGTGCTATTGGCATAATAGGGCATTAAATTAAAAACATTCAAATAACGTTCGCTTGTTCCTATATGAGTCTGATTTCCGTTAAAATGTCTGTAATCGATAAACGAAATATTTTCGGCATTAAAGAACTTTCCTGCTCTTAAATTCATTCCCAGAGTTCCTTTATTGCCTAATGATAAATCATAAACAACAGAAGCGCCAATGCGTTCAAATTCGTATTTTTTCTCGCTGGCAGCAAATGCTTTTTCGAAAGCTAAAAAAACCGTTGGATATTTATCATTTTTAATATTATATCTGCCGTCAGGTCTTGAAATGTATTTGTTGCCAAAGTTAATTCGGGTACTTATTGCGGCTTTAAATAAATGATGAGGATCAAAAGCTGGGGTTGTAAAATCATTTGGTGCCAAAGGATTATTAGAAGAATAAATATCACCTTTTTTAAAGAAAGAATAATCAGTGGTATTAAAGAGAGGTTTTCGCTGCTCGTAACCCACTTTTCCAAATAAATTTACGCCATTTAAGATGTTTTGCGAATAGCCAATCTGGGCATATTCCAGATTGTACAATTTCATATAATTGTCCTTAAAAAACAAAGAACTTACAGAATTGACCAGCTTACTTATAGGTTCGAAACTATTAAATTGAGCTACTTTTGTTCCTCCTGATATATTAATCGTTGCGAAATTTATATTATTGAATTTATGCGTAAAATCTCCGGTAATCCTAAAACGCTCATCTGAAAAACCATAATTAAAAGTCGTGCTTATCGAAGTGCTTTTCCCTTCGTCTTCATTCCATTTTTTAAA